GTGTGTGTGTGTGTGTGTGTGTGTGTGTGTGTGTGTGTGTGTGTGTGTGGTGTTCAAAGCCAATTCTGAGTAAGAGCGGGGCTGGAGTGGAGAAAACACACAAAGAAAACAGAAAAACGAATGCCCTTTTGCCACCAAAATTAGTACGTATACACAGTTTTTTGTAAACGTGGGAAAACTGGCTATAAATAAGCGACATACTCCTTTCCCATTGGCAGTAGACCAGTACGCCTTTTTTTCCTGGTAAAACAGGGTTAGTAAACAGTGAAAATATTACGGTGGTTACTTTGTTTTTATATCTGTTAATTATTCAGTCTGGACTAATGAACGATGTTCCAGCGCTGCTTGGACAGAAACAGACCTTTTATTTCTTTCTACACTATGTTGCAACAGAACACTCTACAATCTGCAGCCTAAAGGGTGATCCCTTCATTTCCCATCTACAGTTTATAACTGTTCCTCTACAAAATAATGGGAAATAACAAAGGAACATTTATAAAGAGTTCTTTTGGTTGGAGTCTGTTCTAAAGGGACCTCTCACCTCTCTTCTGCCTCATATTGGGGCTGGGGTTGGTTCTCCTGAAGCCAGACTCTGGACTCGATGAATCGGACTGTCTCAGCGCCATCTTACGCACATTCCTGCAGTACATGGAGCACAGGGACCGTTTTTTTAACTCTTATGTTAGATTTTTTGTGCTGAGAAGATTATATCATGCTGCAGTTTGTGAGATGAACTTGGTTGCTGACCTCACGGGGGCCCCGTAGATGTTAAGCTGGCTGGCTTCTGTGAACACAATAGAGACATTACGTTTTACTGTTCATCAAACCGTTGCATTGTTTCTTCAGTGACAATTATCCCTGTGACTTTTACAGAAATCATTCATGGAAGCATTCTCTGGTCTGCCGCCTCAATGATTAAGGTCGGCAACTCAGAATACTTGGTAATGATTAGGGAGAGATCAGACAGTGTCTGTGTCCCAAAAGATCAACTCCTACTGAGAGTGACCAGTCATCATCCAACAATACAGCATGATGTTCATTTAGTAAATTATAGTCCCATTTACAGTCAAATAGACCATAAAGCAGGGTGTGCTTTAGAGGCGGGGCTACCTTGTGATTGACAGGTCGCTACCAGAGTCGTATACGGCGGGTCTACCACAGCGTTAATCCTCTGCAGTTCAAATCTGATCACTTTCATTCACTGGATACAAAAAAACAAGATGGTGACGGCAAAAATGCTAAACTCAAGGCTTCAAAACCGCAGTCCACAAACCAATGGGTGAAGTCACAACGACTACGTCCACTTTTTATACACAGTCTGTGGTGATAAAGCGGGAAGGCCTCCAATATATTAACAGCAGGAGGCATAATGCAAAGTTAAACTCCATTGTTGGGCTTGGGATCTTGCGATTGGAGAGCTTTTTCTACGCTTCAGTGAAAACGTGATAAACTGTCACGTAGATGAACAACATCACTAATGATGAAGCCAGTGGTGGGCCGTCAGGGCCAGCTAAGCCTTCTCTGCTGGCCTAAACAGAATCACAAAGTTATAGCAATTTTATAATTCAATAATTTTTCATAAATACACCACATGTATTATCATTATTTTTCCCATTAGCTTATTTTCTCATTGCACAGCTCCTGTCTTCCTCTGTTGCTCTGCTTCCAGCGCAACTTGTTTTGAGGTGGCTACTGAGCCATGTTCGTAATTGTGTTTATTCTGTGCCCTGATACAGGACAGGAACTAGTAGCAAGGTGAGTCCTTGTTACGCAGTCCCAGATAATATATCGTAGAGGAGAAGAAACAATGATGGGTAGCACTGTTTTCTTGATCAGCTGTGACTTCCAGAGCAGCAACATCTTTTACACCAAAAAGCTTCATCTCTCCTTCCATTCCAACATTTCTGAGTAATCTCGATGCATTAAATCGCCCAAACTGCTGCGTCAACCAAGCTGTGTTTATTTCCCCGATAGAAATCACTTAGCGGCTTCTAAAAGACAGAAAAAAACATTGCAACACTGAAGTCACCGGGGACACAGCTTCGCACATCAACCCATACCTAAACAAGAGGCTTGATAAATGCAACGTTAACAGATCCGACCTGCCACAGGACTGATGAGCGACAAGAAACCTCCAGAGAAAGATCTAGTAAAATAACTGCAGACGGTGAGGCGCAGCCACGGCCAAATGCATAGCTCACATAAGTGAGATACCAAGCTCTGCGAATGATCCCGCCTGTCGCCTCCCATTCCAAGTGACCAATGAAGCTGTCGCACAAATGCAGACTCAGCATGGAGCCATTCCACATGCTACAAATATTGTATTCAGCAAAATGGATATATTTTCTCATCATGGATCCGTCCATGTTTTATTCATAACGGCTGGTCACATTGTGGGGCGTGCAGCCAACAACAGTCTGAGAGGAGAAGCATAGCAGGGGCAGCGGTAAGGAGCAGTTACAGACACAGGCTTGCATCTAACAGTCCATTCTTTTCAAACCCCTGGCATTGAGTTGGCTTGTTACTGTGAATATGATAAACATGTAGTCATGCAGTTCATTCTTCAGTTTTCCACTTCCCTCACACTGTTACGTTCTGCATGTCTATACATGGCAACACGACTGCCTCCGGCTGACCCCACAGCTCTCTCTACAGGAACAACTGTCTGACCTGTAGTATATCTTTCTTTATTCTGAAGATGTTTAGTGATAGAAAGGACAGTAGGCTATAATACACATGATTTGGACTGATTTGTTTCAATATTGCAATAGCACAACACTCAGCTTCAATGACAAACATTTTCAGTCGTAAAAATTTCATATTTTATAGGTCTCTTTATAGGTCTTCTCGCTATATAGCGCCCCCTCACTTATTCTAACATGAGTAAATTCATTAATTGTGCCACCAATAGCTATACACAGTGTATATACAGTCTACTGTAGCTCTGTCAGCACCGTTACCGCTGTTTGCATTGTTCTTGCTATTAGCACCGTTGGCTGCTCTCCAGAGTGCGGCAGGCTGGAGGGAAGAGCTTGAGAATGACCCTCCTCCAACCGTCATGGGAATACCCCCCACTGAAAACCTTCCCCCTGGCCCAGAAGCACCATGAGCTCAATGGAAAACACTAAACCGCCTCAGAAGGAGAACGGGACGATCAAAAGCTGCTCTGGTCAGATGGGGCTACAAGGCTGGCCCAACTACCTGTGACTGTGGAGAAGCAGACCATACTATGGAGCACTGCCTTGTCTGCCCTCTACTACCCAACCCTGAGACTCAAAAGACCTTGTAGTGTTCAATAAAAATGCAAAGGACTGTATAAAGAAATGGGAAACTGTCATATAACCATCACGCTTCAGTGACACGAAAAGAAGAAGAGTGCGGCAATCCCTCAATCATAGATACGTACTGAATTTGGAATTATGCACCTATTATGCACCTATGTACATAACTGGCATAAAAGTAATGTAAAATGAGTCAAAGTTGACTTTTATTTTCACACGGGACATGAACAGCAGCCTCCTGGGTTTGTTTGACCCATCCATTCATCCAGACCTCCTCTCCAAGCAAGAAGGTTATGAATTACAGTGCGTTACCTTCTGTAGGTATAAGTACGATTCATTCTTGACCTTGGAAATAGTTCGAGGATGAGCTTTCAATAACAAGCTTTATCCAACGACATCTCATGCTCTTCTTCAGTTTGCTCAGTTGTCAGTGAGATCAGAGATGAGTGGATGTTCATTCTTGAGCCCAGACACAGTCATTTGAACCCCCCAAAAAAGATGCTGAAGACCTTGAGGTGTGGATGAAAGCTCCAGAAAAAGCTAATGAATGGACCTTGAGTCAATGCCCAACTTTGGGTTTTCCTTTAAATTTACCTTAAAGCCGTTTTTTGTTTTCAATGAGTATTCCATCTGTACAGATGTATTTCACATTATAATCCATCTCTTCCTCTTTTCTCTCGTTCTCTCAGAGCTGAAATGGCTGGCGCTCCTCTTCGTCCTCCCTCTCTCCACCCTCCTTTCTCCTCACATGCTGCCCTCCCTCCTCTCACAAGCCTCCTTATTTCCCTCTGTGCTGCCCCTCAGCCTCCATCTCCACCGTGAACATCTCTCCTCTCTCTCTGTCTGTCTGTCTCTTTGTCTCTCTCTACCCATCATTCTGCCTCTCTCTTCTCTTCTCTCCCCCATCACTTTCAATCTCCACCCTCTCCTTTTCCCACACCAATTTCATTCTCCCTCTCTGTCTTTGCTCCACCCTCCTCACATGGAGTCAGAGGTGTAAATCACACACACCGCTCGCTGGCTGCACTGGACCGTCAGAACCTCCTACAGCCTCTGCTCTCCAGGCTTCATGACAGGGCTGCTGTATTATTAGTTAGTCTGCCCTCACACACACACACACACACACACACACACACACAGGGACAGGTACACACACTCCCACACAGGCGGGTTGTCAGACGGGTAAAGCGTGCGGCTCACAGAGGGTGGTTTTCCTGTCAGTCAGGACCACAGAGTGGAACTGTGGACGAGTGATGCTTACTGGTACAAAGAGGAAGAGAGAGGAAGGAACACACTGGGAGAGAGAGGGGACGGAGGCCAGTGCACAGAGACACAGAGAGAGGTGTGTGTCACTGTGTGTGTGTGTGTGTGTGTCTGCAGTTATATTAGAGCATCTATACATTTGTGTGTTTATGTGTTATTCTTACACTATGGCTACAACTATTAATAACAATTATTGTCATTATTGATTAATCTATTGGTAGTGTTGGGACCTGACTATATGGCTTCGACATGTGCTGTGGAACAAAGAGAGTCAGGCCTTCCCTTTTGCAAGCAAAGGTTTCATCCTGATTGTAGTTTGAGCACCAAACCCCAACTCTGAAGAAATTCACATTAGGGTGTGAGTTTCCTCCCCCCAAAAAAACTGTGTTCCTGAAGTTACCTGAAAGCAGCGCTGCAATCTAATTGCCCGAGAGCCAAGACACCCCAGGACCCCTGTGGTTCAGCCACTGTTCTATAAAACTACCTGCAACCCCCACCTCAATGCTTTTTCCATCGATACCTCCGTCGAGCTAGGGAGCACACCAACGTTGTTTCCCTTTTCAACCAAAACCTAGGTCTAACAGTTTAGAAATAGAGTCTGGGCAGAGTTAGAGAGAGTTCATTTGTGTTTATTTTATCTTGTTTGTGTGCTTAAAGTACTGTTCGTTTTTATAACGTGGTGTATGCTTTATGATCACCGACACTGGCGATCCCTGAAATTGCTAGTGTAGTGTAGAAGTTACCGTGTATTTCATGCTACCGTGATCTGTGTTGAGACAGCCGCAGTGAGGTCGAAGTTGCTTCTCATCAGTTCAGGAGGTCAAAACCGCCGGCTGAGACAAAGAGTCGCGGTTCTTGCTCCCCTGGCTGAGAGAGCAATCTTCCATACTCCCGCGCAGAGCGAAGGATCTTAATCTCTTGTTTTATTTCATTTTGTTTTGTTCCTTTCCCTTCTCTTTTACTAATCCACACACACACATATAGCTTTGAGCTAATGTAGCTACGTCCTAAACGGCTACCGGCACTAGACGCCGGGTCTCCTGTTGGCTATCCGCCATTTTTGAGTCTCACGCATGAGAGACGTCACCACGTCCCAACTACGTCATACGTCGCTGAGCTGTTCCCTCGCTCCTGCCCCTACACACACACACACCACACGTACACATACACTCCCCCCTCCTCTTTTCAATCGTCTGTTGATTTTAGATAGCGTGCTCATGAATGTATAGTTGTTAGTTTAGATATTAGTTGACTAGATCATTAGTATTAGAACGTAATAAACTGTTATATTTTAAAGAGCAGCTGTCTGTGATTACTTTGTGTATGTATTGTGATAATAGCTGTATATGTGGTCTGTGCTCGAACTTAAACCTTCACTTTCACTCTGAATGTGTAATAGTACTCAGACTATTGACATTGTGAGTGAACACTAATTATGAGACTTAGTTTATCGTTTGGTTATTGGTCCCTGTTCGCAGGGTGGTGCCCCGTTATTAATAATCATTAATAATTGTTACTGACATTAATAATTCTATTGATGTCAAGAATTTAGTTTCTTAGATGCTGATAACCCAAACACCCTCCTTTACGTTCCCAACATATTGGTGCCCCTTTTTGAGGCTATGTTATTCCCAACAGTAGTCTAGTTTAATCTATAAAATGTCCATCACAATCTCCCAGTCATTCACTGCTGGTTGGAGTTCTTTGTATGTACTGTAATCCGTTATGTATGGAACCGTGTCTGTTAGAAATAACATTTATCTGCCACTCATTTGAAACAGGAGACACTTTTTGTCAGCAACGTTATCAAGTATTGGTTATGCTTTCTCATCGACATAATGAGGAGAAGTGTTGGTATTGATGCCTTCAGTAAAATGTTCACTGACAATGTAATTCATTTGTGTCAAAATATCCAGTGTTGCAATACAACATCCACTCATATTCATATCATTATGAACTATTTTGAATGGTTATGTGAAGGCGCTCACAGGACTTGGTTTAGGTTAGGGAGAGGTGTAATACAAAAAATTCCTTTCGCTTCATTTGATTAAAAAATGTTGCATGTGAACATAATGCAGGCAGCGATTACGTTTCTCACCACCACAAGATTGGAAAAAAACGAATTAGTACTTTCTAAATGACATTTCTGAGCTACTGTTTACCAGCATGTTCTAATTCCAACTCGTCACAAGGACTCTTTGTCAGACCCATCAGCATCCCTTTCTAAGCCTCTGGGTAGCCCAGCGTGTCAAACTGTGACTCTTTACTGTGGTCGCTGTAAACACCTGTGGTTAACGCTGGGAGTTCAGACTAAAAACAACTCATAACAGAAAGAAATTGAGTTGCTGCAGCAGGAAGTAATGACGGAGCCTCCGCAAGGGGAAATAGAATAGAAAATCAAACAGTATATGAATAGAATTTTAAAAAGTTTTACAAACAGCAGTTTGGGAAATGTCTGGGGAATTGTGAAGATGTATACAATAGCAGCAACTAGTCTGCATGTAGAACCTTTTTCCACTGGACAACAAACCACCAACACCCACTAAGACTTCTGTCTTTGTGATGGGATCATGACACCTGGGTGACATGCTAATCTCCGCCCCTTTTCTAGCGCTATGCTACGTGGCGCGCTTTGAAGTGGAATGTAATCAGTTATTAAAATGTATTAACATAGAAAACATACAATTAATAAGCTCTCCTAAAAGCCACAGGACTCCATCGACAGAGACAGTCATTTTACCAAGCTGATCGTAAAACACACTTCATTCAAACTCTGTCCTGTTACGTCTTTCCAATGTTTCAACCATCACCAACTCTGGTTTGGTCAAAAGAAACCCTCAATCACTGAGCTAGATGTGAAAAGAAACAGCTGTTTGTGCTCCATTGACAGACTAATTTAACTCACTGATAGTTGTAAGACGCACTTCATTGAAACGCGACAGAAACAGAATAATACATGTGTATACTGGAAACAGAAACCAAGAGATGAATGGATTCAAACAGACACGTGCCTGTCCTTCAGCTTCAAGTTAGAACTGAAGTACGTTGTTATGAAAGGGGTAAAAAATACATGAAGAGGGAGATATTTAGTGTGTGTGTGTGTGTGTGTGTGTGTACCTCTGCACGCCTCTAGCTGGCCTGTAAGAACTTTACGAATCTCTGACACCCACATATTTTTCACATCCATGGAAGGAGCCTGGGGAAGAATATACACACACACACACACACACACACACACACACACACACACACACACATATACAGATAGCTTTTTAACGCCAATGCTGTTTTTCTGTTCAGTGGGAGAGCTGTGTGGTACAACACTGCCCCCAAGAGGAGGACTGTGTTAGAGGTCACTGAATGCCTCCCAACAAACATCTACAACAAAATGAAATATTAAGGAAATCTTTTGTATCATTTTCAGTTTTATGACAAGTTTTACGATTGACTTTTTCGACTTTTATCAAATATTTGCTGTGTTGTTTTTTAGTGTTAAACTCATTCCGCCGGCATCAACATACCTGGATGATGTAAACCTCCTCTCTGCCGTTGTACCACACCTCAAACTTCTTGATGTCGCCTTTGACGTTCTCGGTGATCCCCACAGAGCTCATCTGGACAGACAGATGGACAGAGACACTGTGAGATGCAGCAAAGCTGTGTCACCACAACGAGCTGAGGACTGAGTGTCAGCTGGTCATGGTCAGATGAACCCATTACAAAGACCCACAGCAGAGCACTGTGTTTGCTTTCTGTTGCCTTGAAGTCCCCATAATAAAGAAAAGAGCACATAGAAGACTAAACATAACACCCAGTAACCAACCAGCAGGTGCTGGAAATTCCCCCTTTGTGGCTACTTTAGGAACAGTTACAGCACCAGCATCTATGAAGTCAGAGGGAGCCGGTGCAGTGAGGCTACAATAGGAGTAATGTGCTATCTTTTCCAAGTCTTGATCTGTAGTGAAGAGATCATGTACAGTAGTCCAACCTGCTAGTATTCTAATGAAAGGATGGTGGTCATGAGATTTGGCACTTGAATGCATCGGCAACGACAACTATGATTGAACCTGAACACACCTGCAGACAGAAGCATTTGTCACAGAATAGGTCAATTCTAACGGCAGGTAAGGAATGAAAGGAGCTTCGTCGATCATTCATAATAACCTGATCCTGCTCTCATGGGGGGGGGGGGGGGTCACTGGGTGTCAGTTTCAGCCTTCATTGGAGCAACTCTGTTACTGTCCATTACAACACAGGCAGGAACACAAGTGTGATACACTGAGATATTTTGCTGACCCAAAAAAGAAACGCGATTGAATCTCTTTCATACTTCACTTCTTTCTGTGGACTTGTTTGGAAGGGAACCTGAGGTGCTGTACAGCATATTCATCAATGACAGCTCCAGTTCCCTCAGGCTTCATGTGGAGGAATGTGTCCAGATGTGTGGAGATGAACAGTCTGTACAAGTCAATGAGTTTTTAACTTAAAATGTGCAATGTGAATTATCCTTTCCTTCCATAATACTTTTAGGAATATCAACATCATAAGTCAACGTTTTGAATAATGTATTTATTCTCATGTGTGTGTGGAGATTGTGTTCTGTGTCAAGGGTAACGCGCGGAAGAGACAGTACTTATTTGTATCATGCTTCTTCATCTTTGTCACCCAGTGACTAGCTTTATTTTGAATGATAAACTGAAGCAACACATGCTTCCAAGATGAAACAATAATACGTGTGCGCTGATGTGGAGCCTTTCTGGCGCCTAGTGGCCAAAAATGGATCCATGCAGCTTTGATGTTTCCAGAACTTCAAAATCTGATCCATCAAGATGATAACATGTAATATATGAATTTGCACATAATACTACAACAATTAAAACAACATGATTACTTTCACTGAAATGTCTTGTCTTGTCAAAAAGGCTTTCTGTGAGCTGCTATCTTCCCTTGTCCTCCACCTCACTGGGTTACTCATCCTGTTTACAAGAGTCATCAAAAGACCTCACGTTTTATCTCAACATCAACAGTCTTTACACTCCTTCCTCTTTGAAATGTTCCACATAACCATCTCCAGCCCCAACTTCCTGTTTCATTTGACTGAAATGTCAGTGTGTGTGTGTGTGTGTGTGTGTGTGTGTGTGTGTGTGTGTGTGTGTGTGTGTGTGTGTGTGTGCGAGAGAGAGAGTTGAAACAAGGTAAGAAGTCGTATAGTTAAATACACTTTAACTATACTGCTTGTTAAAGGAATACTTAAACCTTGAAATGACAATTTGCATATCAGTTACTCACCGGGTCTTACCTTGAATTCTTGAAGAAACCCAGTTGTATGCTCACTATGTCCCAAACACATGCATCTTTACTAAAATCGTACTATTTAAAACATTTCCTCCACTATTGTCTTATGCTTGCGCAAGTCTGTGCATGAGACATTAGAGGGAGTTATGTTTACAACAGCAAGATTTGGAAGTAATGAGCATATACTGTAATTGGATAAATGAGACTGGGAGATTATACTGCGACTTGTCTGACAGTTTGTAAATGGATGTTTTGATATAGTTCTGCTGTTCCCCCCCCTCCCCATGATAACAATACATCAAGGATGTTTTTTGATTCTCCAATGAAGTAGTGCCTTAAACCTCCATTCTCTCTCGTGTCCACCAGGGGGCGACTCCTCTGGTTGTATAGAAGTCTATGAGAAAATGACTCTACTTCTCTCTTGATTTATTACCTCAGTAAACATTGTAAACATGAGTTTATGGTCTCAATCTCTAGTTTCAAGTCTTCTTCAATACAGCATGATGTTCATTTAGTACATTATGGTCCATTTAGAGTCACACAGACCATAAAGCAGGGGATGCTTTAGGGCGGGGCTACACAGTGATTGACAGGTCACTACCACGCCGTTGTCCGGTCTGGGAGTTGTCTTTGATTTAGTTTTAGAACTTTAACCCTTTCATAGTGTGTTTTCACTTCATGAAAGATAATTGTAACATTTTGGTCGCCTAAAAATGTTGTTCAGCATTCAGTTGTTCTTTGCTCCACTCTTTCGTGTCAATTCTGGTTGTAAAAAATACAAGATGGTGACGGCCAAAATAATGAACTCAAGGCTTCAAAACTGTAGTCCACAAGCCAATGGCTGCCGTCACGATGACTTTGTCCACTTCTTATGTATATTCTGTGTACACTACACCATATCTACACCAACTCAGTGAAGTTCAATTTAAAACAGTTTTGTCTCGGACACCCATAAAATGAGCATTTAAGAATTGATGAATTTAGCTGAAACACAAATTCAACTTTTGCTGTTTCAGACCATCAGACTACAGTGAGGTCTTCATCACTTTGCTACACACAGAGGTGTGACATCAACCAAACAAAACGGACAGCTGGAGAAAGAACATCATCTGTGTCTGACCTTGAGCGAGTGTTTGAAGCTGTAGGACGGGGTCTTCTCGTGTCCATCTGTGGTCTCCTCTCGTTTCTTACAGAACAGCATCATCTTGTCATACAGGAACAGGTGCCTCTGCATGGGCTTAAACCTGGCCAAGTCCTTCACCTGAAACCAGGAGATTAGTTATTTTATCAGTATGACCATTAATCATTCAACTGTTCAACTATCATATTCATGTTGATACATAGTTTTGTTTTCAAATTAAGTGTGGTAAGAAACAACTGAGAACTGGTGAATAATCCTGGTATTGCTACCAATTGTGTTTCTCCAGACTAACGCCATATTTATCATAAGCCCTCTTGCTTCCTGTGTGTTTGTCTGTTATGCATCTCTTCCCTTACTGAAGAGGATACATGTTCTACAACAGATGGTCTTCTTTCACCATCAGCAAATGCAACAACTACTGCAGTCCCCATTTGCATTTTGTGCAGACACATCTATATTATTTTTCCCTGTTTTTTCTTTTCTTTGAACTTTGATAAATATAAAATATAAATATAAAAACCCGATGGTTTTAAATGAATGTTTAAACCCATTTACTACAAATGACATCTCAGATTTCAACTAATCAATTCTCAAACCTGCTCTTCTCTTGAGGACTTTTCCACAAGCTCCAGGCTCATTTTCCTTTTCAGCTAATTTCTATACAATATGAAAATCTATGAGCACTCTCTCTAAATCTTGTGTGGTTGAATGCATCCAACCAACCAACCAACCAACCATCCATCATCCACCCAACCATCAATCCATCCGACCCTTCATCCGTCCAACCATCCAACTATCCAACCCTTCACCCATCCATCCATTGCTTCAACCATCCATTCATCCAACCAACCATCCAACTATCCAACCCTTCATCCATCCATCATTTTAGCCATGCATTATTTCAACCATCCATCTATCCATCCAACCCTTCATCCACCCAACCATCCATTCATCCAACCATGCATCCATCCAACCATCCAACCCTTTATCCATCCATCATTTCAACCATCCAACCCGCCAACTCTCCATCCATTTAAACCCTTCATCATCCATCATTTCAATCATAGATGATTTCAACTGTCCATCCAACCCTTTATCCATCCAACCATCCATCCAACATCCATCATTTCAACCATCCATCCGTCCCTTCATCCATCCAACCATCCATAATTTCAACCACCCATCCATCCAACCCTTTATCCATCCAACCATCCAATGGTAGAAAAAACTAAAAGCAGCTAAAACTTGCAGAATAAATGTATTCGGTTTGACTAATGTCAAAAAGGCAGGCATGTTTGTATTAACTACTTCTGGTAACATAGAGACAGTAACACCGTCCACTGGATTATGGGATTGTACCTTGCTGTGGCCTTTCTTGTGGTCAGTCCACACATTAAAGGATCCCTGCATCAGCAGCTTCCCCAGTTCACTCAGGTTCCCCTGTGAACATCAACACATAGACAGTCAGACATTTAGAGCACCACTCAGTACAGTCATAGCACTTTGCTTCCAACGCTTCTACCTGTAAACTCTTATTTGAGTACCGTTGTCAAATTCTACAAGCTGGAATGCACATTAACCCAACTTTGTAAATTAAAAATGTATTTGCACTGCCAAACATAACCTGAACCATAGCTTGTACCTTGCTAATAGCTATGATAGCTAATATATATATCTGAAACACACACACACAATCCATGACCACACAGATTGCATATTTACGGAAAAGCTAATGTAAGAAACGGTCCACATGTGTTTTGGAGTACATCTGGTCCTTGAAGCCAATTAGAATCATTCTAAAAATTCTTAAAACTTGTTTTTTCACAGGCGTCGATCATTTCAGTTTATTATTATCTATTGGAATTAGTACAATTATAACACTCCTATTGTGGACTCAGGATGTTTCTGCAGATTGTTATAACACCTGTGATGGAACAAATTAAATCATCCATCTCTGACTGTCACATTGATTTGACTGCCTCCTGCAGGAAGTCACGGATAGCTTAAAAAATGATTTTGCCACTTTTGATGTGGATGTCCATTCAGTGTTGATGGTAAATGTAGTCCATTGAAGCAATACATTCATAATTGTGAGCTATATGAATCCAGAAAGCTGAGTTCTACTGTGAAATCCTTTGTATTTCATGCATCCAGTGCTCTCGTTTGACGTGACCGTCACGTAGTTGAGGGGAGGAAGAACTACAATCTACTCATCTCTGCATCTCTCTGGGTAGCCAGCGGTGTCATGCTCTAGATGCAAAACAGAGCTTCCTAAACCCATTCCGTTGTGTAAATGAAGTTTAAAGAAAACATATTCTTATACTTATACTTAGGACGTTATTGACGAGGACACATCCTACAGTGTTTTGGATATTCAGCCATATATATTGAAGCAGAGGAGAGAAGTGGCGGCTGCAGCAGCAATGGGGTTAAATAGCCGACGGGGAACCTCCAGATCTTTAGCTGCCGAGTGCAAACACTTTCACGCTGGTTCAGACAACAAAAGCTCCTTACATAAGCAACTCAGCTACACTATGTCCTGGCTTGGCGCCAGGAGCTCGAGCTCAATGCATCCTGGTATATGTAGGCACTGCCGGCACGGCTCCACGAGCAAGGGAACTCAGCTTTCTGAATCAATACAGCACGTATTGAGAAATCTATTGCTTCAATGGACTACATTTACCATCATAATAATGTTGCCAAATTTTCCCTTTAAGTGAGATGTTTTTGGCCTCTTACTTCATGTGGACACATTCCCTCTTTATTTGTGTCACAATGCAGCTCAGATATTTTCTCCTTTTTTGGGCCCCTTAGTACCACTACTGACACCGCTTAGTTCGTTAAAATTAATTTTGCTGAATTTCTGACACCTGGTGTGAAGTTGTTGTTCACAAACGGTGTAGAACAGGCAGCATTTTATAACAAATCCTTGGCATTGATTATGCTCACAACCAAACCTCATGAACGAGCAGCTGCTCATGAACAGGAAGAATGAATCAAGTCTTATTAAGAGATCAAAGACCGTTAAGAGCGTTTGTTCCAATCAATTGTTTGAGCTGTCCTCCCAGAAAAAAAGGAAATTCAGATAGGTATACTAAAATGTTCCATAAAAAACATTGTCTTATATTCAGACCAATGGGTGAAATAGATTTGTATTGAAAATCAGTGACAATATCTGATTCCATTTGATCTCAACAGTCGACCACATGGCATGTCACAGTGGGATGTAGTTGCATAAACAAAGTGTCCATTTGCTTTCAGAGAGTTCCCTTCTGAAATAAAACGACCGGACCAGGATCCAGCGTCAATTTTTATTTCTTTCTAGGAATAAAATTCTCAACTTTGTCAGATGCTAAAGATTTAAATCTGCTTCCATCAAACCTTAACTGGTGTCGACCATCTGCAGGACGTCCTGTATGACATCACTGACTGTGTGATGGTGTCACTCTACTTTAAACTAATGCAAATTATACAGTTAAAATCAGTCCGTTTTTCTAACTCAATATGAATTAAAGTTTATAATGTACGGTATATATGTATTTTCTTTATTATAATTTATTATATTGTCTTACCTTATCTCACTGACTTTTTATTTATTATTTATTTTAAAAATAAGAACATTGTCCCCGGCAAATGATGAACGCCATAATCAGAAACACTATTTACTATGGTCATAATATTCATTGATAAACAACAATACCATGATTGTGATCTTATGATCCTTTTCTAGTATTAGAGATTGAGTTGTAAATGCTAATGATTTGCTGTTATACTCAAGCTAACCTCTAGTATTGAATAATACAATATTGAATAACAAAAAATCAGCTTTTGTATTTATTCGTTATTCAATTTTTTCAATTTCAAAGTCATAAATCCAGAGACGTTTACCCAAAGTAGATTATTCGACGTCTTAGAATAAGCTGCATCTCTACTGCATTTGTTATGTTTGGAGACTGTCTTCTCAAAAATAATTGACACAACTAGGGATTCCAGCAAGTGACCCAAAAGTACATCCGTTTACCCATGATTGCAAACGGTGTGTCTCTGTGTAGCCAAGCAGATCCATACTATGGTATACATCACTATTTCCCCTAAGCACAGAAGAAAAGTCTTTGAAACGGCTGGTGAGACCAAACACACAGATATAAATCGCCAGGGAATGAGATGGAATGTCAGAAATGTTTCCTCACTGAGAATAAAACGCACACATCCAAAGAATCACAACAACTTTGTGTGTTTGGTTGATAAATAATTTGGAGCTGAGTTTAGGTGGTGTGGACAGTCCAAAAGAGGTTGTGCTCTCAAAACTCTTCATTCAATCAATTTCAAACCCTGGTCAACTAATCCATGTTTGGATTTAGCTGTTCGCAGCACAGCTAATGCTGCAGTGGATCATTGAGAAGAGAGTGAAATACTACTTGAAATCAAATCCAACAGCTCTGTAACTAAACAATGGTTGACTTAACATCATTTCTAAAGTTTGCCTACTTTCAACTTATCTAAATAAAAAACATATCAGGTGACAGAACTAGTCTTTTTCATTTTGGAACACAACATAGAAGTTTAACGGAAAAAAACAACCGCAGTAAGACTGATTTGACATAACCAGTCGGTCAAACAGCCCTATTTATCAAGTTTTCTCAACTTCCTCCTTTGCACATCATCCTCTTTGCACATGATGATGATGGCGATGATGAATGAATTCCACTCACTGACCTCAAAGCCAGTGATGGCTATCTGGTGCATAGAGTCGTTGACAGACTTGATGATGTCCAGCATGGTGGATAAAGCCTCCTCCAACTCAGCCGTCCCCTCACCCTTACTGCACTTCAACATCTCCTGGAACACACAGGAAGGGGTCAGAAAAAGACTGATTAATTACTCTTTGCCGCCGCTCTGCCCTGTGCTCATGCGGCAGTTACCGTAGCGCCCACCTACCGGCTCCCAGGTACGGACTGTTAGCTCCGTCAACACTGTTGGCATTGTTAGCACTGCTAGCCGCCGGCTCAGCCGCTGCCATGTTGAGTGAGAGCCGTGTGATGGCAAAAGGCATGCCCCGAATTCTGTATTGAGCGACTTTAACATTTTATTTTGTGGTACAAATGATACGTGGTACCTTCAGACTGCATATTCATAAAAAAAGGGCTGTTAACAAAATCTACTTAATATTAATAATTTCAAAACTTTCTTTTTCTGGAGTGCCTCGGTAGTCCAATGGCTGCAGTGCATGCCACGGAACCTGGGACCTCTGTTGCATGTGTAGCACCTCTCTCTCCCTCTCTCACCCCCAAAAAATGAACTTGGAAATAACTAAAAAACTGGATTAAAGTTCAGAACTTTGACCTCTAAACGCCAAAACGGGGGTGTAGATGTGTATAACTCTGGCTCCCTGAAAGACTACACCCTGATTGTGGCTCCAAGCTCAAAAAGAGCTTTTATTAATTTACTGAAATATTAGTCAAACATAATTTGGATCATTTTTAATGAGTTCTTGTAGCCAATCAAAGAAGCGTCTCAACCAAAAAGCAAGCAAGCGGGCTTCAGAGTTCCCTACAACTGACAGCACTAAGTGTTGTGGGTTCTGAGTTGGTTACCTTCAGCATGAGTTGGTATTTGGTGATCCTCTGGACAGGCTTCAGCAGGTAGGCATCCAGAGACAGTTTGTGGTCCAGTTTCTTCTGGCATTCCTGTTGTCACAAACACCAACCATTGTCCATCAGGAGGGGACACAAGACAAATCTTCAGAACCTAGTGTTAAAGCTGCATGTTCATGTCAAAACACACCTTTGCAAAAATGGGACAGCAACAATGTCGATAATGCAGGAAATATAAATTGTAGAGTGAGGTTGTTCAGTGTGTGTGTGTGTGTGTGTGTGTGTGTGTGTTACCTGAAAGAAGAGGCTGTCTCCACACTGCCTCCAGAGGACTTCAGAGCGCGGTTTGTTCTGACAGTACTTCTCATACACCTGCAGCTCTTCTTTCTGACAACACAAAGAAATGTCTGAGTGAAGACAGTATATCAACTCTTGTCAGTTTCTGGTCAATTTTAGCTGTTGCTGGAACACTAAGTCTGTCAATTTGGCACATCACTGGCTGGTCAACCTCATCTCCTCATTCATTAAAGGAGCCCACCATCATGAGACAAACCCTGTCTAAAAATTATTCATTTGCTTTGCCAAATCTGTGTTGAAGGAAACATACTGTAACTGCTGCCTGGATTATGATCACTGGCAATTTTCTTTTTCTCAAATCCAAAGATTTGGGGTTGAACGGTTGGTTATACAAAGCAAAGGACTTAATCCAGTACCAAAGTGTCTCATACAAAAGTGACAAAAAGTTTGTTTGCCGATGTCCAAAGCAACATAGATGACCGTTGGATGGTATCAGCTGGTCAATAAATACAGGTCGATATATATTGTATAGTTGTGACATCACAACCGTACAGAAGTCCTGACAGCTCGTTTAAAGGCACAGTTCATGAATACAAGCTGCGTGTATTTCTCCATGGATTCAGCATGTTTGATACTTTCACAGTATTCATGTAGCTCTTAGCCATGAAAATCTCAGTGTTCGCTGCTGCTTCCTCGTCTGTCTGCATTTGGGTTCATTCTGTTTCCCTTCTCTGACAATCGGGACAACTTTAGTCCATTGAAGCAGCGCCTGCACTGAACTGGGTTCCTTTTACACCCTGGAGAATATGTTAACCCATCCCCCAGATTGTCTGTCTGGAACAGAACAGAAGACCTACCTCAATACAGAAATTAATAAAAAAAAGAACTAGAGACCGGATCTAAAAGGACCCAAGAAAATACATATACACAGAAATATAGAAATATATACATTGCAAGTAAAAGTACAGATGAAGTATCAGTAAAATGTACTCGAAGTACTAAAAGTAGTTTTAAAAAGTATTTATTATTCAGCAGTAAAAGTGTAAATTAACAAAATACAAATACTCATGTAACATACAATTACACGACTACTGAACTCACCCTTTTCAGAAAACAGGTTCCCACCAGCTCTGGTTTCTCTGCACAGTTCTCCAGCTCCCTCAGAAATGTACTGCAGGTAAGTTGTGAACAAACAGAATGAGAACACACACTGTCATTTGTTCTTTGCCAGGCTGGAAGCCAACTTACTAAGGTGTGTAAGCAGATTTTGGCTTCAACAACTTGGACATTCCTTCAGTACAGTTGCTGTAGTCATTCATTTGGATCTTCTTGGGTAAGTTGGCCTTTAACTCTACTCATCTCATCTAAGAAAGATATGCTACTCATCATGGAAAGTGTTTTTGGAGCGGCCTCATATAGCATTCATAGCTATACCTTCCGATAACGAATGCGCTGTACTTCGTAGACAACCCATGAAATCAATTTGTATGTAATCCACCTAATCATGAACCAGGAAATGTAACAGGTGGATGGGTTGAACAAAAACATCTTTCATCAAGAGACTGCTGTTTGTGCCACCTGAAACGCAAAGTTAACGTTGATTTATTTGCATGTAACGTCTGTACTTAGGTAATGGCACTTCTGTAGTTATTCTAACCCAAACCAAGATCTTCTCCTAAATGGGACAAACTAGTCTTGGTGGCTGAACCTAAACTAAGTATTTTCCAATGAAAACAGAAGTTTATTTTGAAAAGACTGTATGCAAATAATGAGCAGAATGAAAGTATGATGATCAGTTCAGTGACTAAAAGTATTATCTTTTAATCCATCGTTTCCTCCCAACTTTAAGGAAGTGTAATACTAAATCACTGGAGTACTCCTTTAAAAACGGTGGCCCACAACAAGTGAGGTTTTGGCCCCTTGAAATGTAAAAACCAAGGAGTTTAAAGAAGAACAGTTTAGAGAAGAGGAGTTTATAGAAGAGTACAGAATCCTAGGCAGTCCAATGACGGCTCCACCTCACACTTGTACCAGTTACTGTGAAGAGATGAGAGGAAGCACTAACAAGTTGACAGGGAGACGGCTAGAAAGAGGCAAAACAGGAAGCAATAGAGAGAGGAAAGGAAGTGTACTAAGAAGAAAGTGCATGGAGAGGGAGGAGCAACTCTTTGGTTCAGGCCTTCAGGAAGTCTGCAGTCTGCATGTGGTGTCTCTGAATTTGTCTGCTTTTTGACAGTTGCTTTGAATGACTATCTTGTCGGCACAGACACCTTTGTTCATACGAGCACAAGCACACATGCTGTACAGTTCTGTGGAGTGGAGCGGAGCTATGATTTCAGGAAGTAAACTCCTGCTCTACTACTCAAATGGGACCACAAAAGTCCCAAAAGGTCAATATTTCTGTATACAAAACTTAATTATTTGTTATACTGTCTGTGCAAATCTTTAAGAAAGGCAAAGTGGATCAAATCCAACTTGTGAGCACAAATTAACTGCTAATTAAACTGCTCCCCTGAACAACAACGGTCCAGTCCTAGCCAAGCAACGGGACAGCATGTTATTCAAGCTTTGGATTCCTCAACGCGCTGGAGTGGTGTGCAATGTCAGCCTGGTGTCCTAAAGATGACGTTGCCAATTAAGCTTTAAGGGAAATGTATTATTTATTATTTCTAATAAATAACACATTTCCCTTTTGTTTGTTTCTAATCAACTTCCGCAGAAGTCCGCATAGGGAGGAGGCCGATGTGGAAACCAGTAGTCAGTGTTGACTTATTTTAATTTATATTAAATGTTTTACGTTACAGAATGTAACAGGATTGCACGAGGAAAATAGTGGCAGCACAGCGATCAAAGATAGAGTCAGAGCAGCCGTTACCAGGGTCTTTAATTAAGCAAACAGAAAAACGTAAAAGTCTAGCTCCGTCAAGACCACCGTTACAAAACTAGAACATTTAAAACAATCTCAGCCGGGCCGCTAGCCGATTTACCAGTTCCAACTATAACCAACACCCTGGAGATCTTGGGGTGAAGAGACTGAGCTCCTCTCTCAGCATGTGCCACCAGATCAGCTTCCCTGATTGTCCTTTGTTCACCTCCCTGATGAGATCAGCTGCATGTGTGTCTCTTCCCTGATCCAATGCTCTCCTCTGGGAATGGGTGGAGCCCTCTGGCAGGACCGTAGGTGCCTCTAATGACCCGGCCCCTTTAGGCCCTTACAGTACATACCAACGTACTCATTTTAAGCCAAACCACAATGTTTTATTAAATCTCAGTAATTTTGTTGCCGAAACATAACCAAGTCATTTGTTTTTCTTTTGTTTCAATCCACAACGTTGACCACATGTTTGAAACTGGCCCGGTCATCCCGGAGACTATATGTGTCCTTTACCATGGCCCATGCACACTGCTTGAGTGTACATTTGTAAAGAAGGAATCAATAGTGTTTGTCTGCTCAAATGTAGGCTAACAATGTTAGCATGCTCAGGTAAGAAGCTTATTACCTACAGTGTTAACCTAGCATAGGAGCATGGGCTCACGCCATTTTGTTTTGGTATGACAGGTTGTTAGAAACAATCTCCTTCAGAGAATAAAAATGACTACGGTGTTATTTATGGGTGCAGTAGGAGAGTTATGGAACAGAATTCCCTCAGGAAGAAGTGTTGTAGGATTGTAGACGTAAACTGTCTCCTCTCTCAAATTGGCTGGACATTGGAGGGGGGGTCGGGTCTCGCTGGTGACCCACTATTTGTGGAACTCTCTCTGGTTGAGGGTAGGCATTGACCTCAAATGGTTGAAGATAAGACTCTGGAACCTTTTCTCTAGTTTTTACAAATCCAAGGTTACCATGTAGACACATTGGAGGGCCTCACACGTTTGCAGGTCAATAAGATTGAATTCATTTCACATGAAGTGATCAAATCATTGACTTAACTCAGGAGTGAGTGGAGCCTTTCACTCTTGGGACTAAAAGTGTAGAGGGGCCCTCCGACTCTAACATGCTAACAAAGAGGATGGACAGTGAGCCAGCTATACCAGCACAGCCACGGCAGCTGATGATGGAAACACTGCCTCTGTATGTAAAATGTTTATGGTATTATCTGTGCTCAGGTGTGGTCACACAACACTTTGTTTGTATGAGACTTAAAGTCTGATGCTCCTCCCGCTACTTACGATCTTGATGCTAATGTTTGGAACTCACTGAACCAGTTACTGTATGTGTGTGACTCCCTTCAGCAAACAGACGAGCTGCAATGCAGACTGAGGATAGACGGATGTGAGTGGAAAGACAAAGCACACATCTTACTCTATTAATTATTAGTCCCAAAGCAGCCAATGAATGTTTGTGAAAACTACCGCAACATAATTATTTCAAATAAAGGCCAGAACCTTTCAGATATTGATGGTAAAAAGTTTATGAAACAACAGCTTTTAATTTCACACAATTAAAGTAAAAATAAATTTTTACATTTTGTGTGTTGCATAGATTTAATGATATATTTTCACTTTACTTAAAAGAAACACCAAGCACGTTGAGTAACTTATAATTACATTATAATTTATAACGATTATAACGCAATATAAAAAGAATATAGTGTATTATAACTATGATCCTTGCTTTATAATGTGTTATGATTATTGTTATAAAGCATTATGGATATTTATGAATGCTTATGACTATAATTATACAGTGCTATAAGCAGTTTATAACATTTTAGTCATGGGGGTCATAGAAAGTGATACCTGAAGTTGTTTGTGTTTTCTTTGTGTTGGAATCCAAACAGTACTGTAGCTACTCATTGCATTTATCTTTTGGCCAATAAGCAGAAAACAGATGATTTCAACCTGTGACCAACTGTTCTGTACAAATGATTATAGAATTGCTCCGGTAGCTGTGCCTACGCTGTGATAGGATCTGAATGACTCACTTTGGATAAAAGTGTCTGCTAAATGACTGTAATGTAATGTACTGTAAGTTAACTCATAACTTCTTCAGATATCATGTACACAGACATGCTTTTCCAAAAGCCTTCACTTAAAACATCATCATCAGAGAAACACTGCTCTGATCAATGTTTGCATTCTGATGAACCTAATGTGCACTACAGACAGCCTTAGGCACGCAGCAGCTTAACCAATGACACACCAGCAATAAGTGTGCCGGAGCGTTTTTTGTAAATATTGAAGAGCCCTCTGATCTGCAGGTCAAATGACTGTTATTTATGGCAGATTTATAGATTTGTATTCCCCTTCTGCATTCCACAAAGACCTGCTAGCGTCTGATTTGTTGCCTTCTCTTACTTGTTTAGAGTTTATTGCTGATGAACAATCAGAACAATGTCCTGAATATGTTGCTATGCATGTTGCCTCAATGGACGGAATGAATTTACAGATCCATTGTAGTACATTTTGATGTGTTGTAATTCAACTAACTAATTGTTAATCAGTGTGCTATATCAACATCAAGGTTAACAATCATATCAAAGAGTTTCCTGCACGACAGTAGATATTTTTTTCTGTAGTTGGTGGAGAATAAAAAAGAGCTAAAAGAACATGAATATTGGACTAACATTAATTCAGTTTAGAGAAAAACTAAACAAATTAAATTCAAAATTCAAAATAATCACAAGGTGTCTGATGACACAAGTAACTCATATTAATACTAATATGATGGCTTCAGACAGTGATACAGCCCTTTTTATCTGCTGTACAGCATATTTATATCTACCATTTGAACCTGTGGTCATTCTTGTTTGTTACCGATATGTTATATAAGACACAGAGCAGAAGGCAGGACAATGTTCAAGATGCATCCCGCCTACCTGTTGTGGAATTCATATATCTCTGGCAGGTTGCCAAACAGCACATCCCTTTTGTTGTCCAGCGACGGGGGGATGAGGTGGCTGAGCTCTGAGTTATCCAGCTCTGCAAAATAACCCTGAAAGAAGGAGGAGGGTAGAAGAAGAAGAAGAAGAAGAGAAACAGAGATTTTTAACATCTGCACATCTGCAGTGTCAAACTCTGGCTACAAATCGACACCTGTGGGTGATGAGAATGACTTATAGACCAACATACACCAACACGCATGCTCTGTGTCATGTAATCAATATAATGCAGAGTCAGAATCAATGCATGCCTACGTGTGTAAACCAACAGAAAATTGATTGGACATATTCAACCCAGGAGATCATATGGAGTTCAAACACTGACAGGAGTCTGGAGGTTGGATTTATGAGGAAAAGTCTTCTTTAAGGCAATCAATGCACTTATTGAACTCAGGGATGTACCAGTAGTCAAAATGCTATTTCATATCTGGAGTTATTTGCATTAAGAATTTCCCTATTGAAATTATAAAATTGAATACCAAGAGCTACATCACAGACAAGCCTTTGATTTTCTTCTATCATCTTTTTTCTTTTATTTTACTCATAACACTTAACACTATATGATACTTTAACATGTATCTCAAATGACCATTAATAAAAGTAACAGATTCGACCAGCCCTCTCTATTGGATGGAATTTAAAGATTAGCTCTGTACTCAAAGCCCCTTTGGGAGTTTGGTTCAAGGGTCAGTGTGTGGGGTTTAGTGGCATCTAGTGGTGAGGTCGCAGGTTACAACCAACTGAACACCAAGCGAGAACTACGGTGGCCTTGAGGTAATATTAAAACATGAAAGGCTCTCTTTAGAGCCAGTGTTTGGTTTGTCCGTTCTGGGCTACTGTACAAACATAGTGGAGTCCTTAAGGACGACCTGCTCCCTATGTACTATGTAGGTATGAAGGACTCATTCTAAGCCAACGAAAACACTACAATTCTTAGTTTCAGGTCATTATACACCAATGAAAACATAGTTATGAATATTATATTCCATGTCTGCTAATAAATCCCCCTAAACTCTACACACTGGCCCTTTAACAACAGCGATTTATTCAGTTTTTAATTAGCTTTGTTAGCTTTAAGTATAAAATGACACCGACCGCATTCAGCTAGATTCCATCAGGAATAGACTGTTAAACAGAAAACATGTGTTATAAGCTGCTGGTATGTTTGAAAGGCCATTGGGCTTACCAGGCAGTCTAAGTCTAAAGAACAGACACTAACAAGTTGCATTATGGGATGTATAGGATCCAGTGCTCATGGAGATGGACCCATATTTGGGACTAAAAGTTGGGATATCTCTGGCTCTGTCATGCTCATTTTGACCATATTTCTTTATTATTTATATTTCTTATTTCTTTTGAGTCCCCACACTAAATCACAGGACCAGAGACGTTACAGTCACAAGACCAAACAAGCTGTGAAAAGGCATCAGTTTAGCCAGACTATGTGGAGGTCAAACCAAAAGTGAACACAAATGATTGATGAGATGAGGAAGATTTACCCAGTTTCTCATCGCTGAAACTGAAGAAAGTTACGGAATATTAGCGATTAGCCACTGTCCAAGTGGTAATTTACTGGAATGGTCTTTTTTTTGCTCGAGTTAAAGGGGCATGTTAAACATCCAACAACAGCATGAAGAGCAGAGCTTAAGGACTGAGACAGATCCAACTAAACAATAGAAGATCGCATCTGTTTTAATGTAAGTGAGCCGTGATGCAGTGTAGGACAATTCTAGAACCAGCAGAGATACTGTACCTCCATGATACTTTGCAGTTCCTCCACATACAGCCTCTCTGTTTCAATCAGCTCAGTCATGATGTGTCTGCAGAGAAAGAGCACAGAACGCCGGGATTTCTAACGCATGCGGAGCAAATCACAATGAAACCCTTCTGGCTGAATTTCCACCCAAAAAAACTAACAAACTAACTAATAAATCAGTAAACATGAATTTAAGTGTTGGCACAGCAGCAATGACACCCTCTTTGAGAAGAGCGAGTCCCAACGGACAAATATGGCACCATTACCAAAGGAAATTGCACTTTGCTGTGGAAAGAGGAGAAGTAATGGGAACATCCTCATCCTTCCTTCTTCCAGTCAAAGTCCAGTCCAGTTTATCTCACACACATTTAAGTTTTAGCCTTTTAGCCAATACACTCTTACAGTTAGTGCAATTTAGGAATTTCTGAAGAAAAATTAGCTGTGAGAGTCACTCAGGTTCACCACTTCATCTCAAATTGCTTTGTAATTACATCCTTGTATTAATGTTCAACAGGGACTTGTTGTTGAACACTGTGTGAGTCATCAGGAAACTGAATATTCATGTCTAACTTTTGAGAGTAGCTGTCGTATCCTCGTATATATCCTCTCAAACAACCGCATTTACACACAGCTGTGGTAACAGACGCGCAGTAGTTCTGTTTATACTGTCTGCTTGGAGGACGCGTTCCACACATGCACAGATGATCGCTACACTACCATATGTAGCTTAGTGTCTGCTCAAACTAGTTCGTACATTCACAACAAATTGGCTGTACTTGGATGTCCGCACAGAGCCTATGCGTACACCCTCTGATGACGACATGTACTTAATGTGGACCCTGGCGTACTCACTTTTAGTCATAGTAGCAGCAAGGCTCTAGGAACAGCAACGTCGGTGTGTCAGACCTGACAGAAAACACTATTGGATGGATTGCTGTGCAATGTGGTACAGATATCCATGGTGCACACAGGATAAATTCGACATTGGTGGTTCTGTGACTTTTTCTCTAGTGCCAACCTTTCCTAAAGCTGTAATGCAGAATAGGTCATTAGGAATGTGTTACATCACTCTGTTTGAGGTCGAACAATATGGCTTGAACTCTACTGAGACAAATGCTAATCTAGACTACTGTTTTTGTTTAGCTGGATTACCTGGTAACATTTACCTGGAATCCCCTTTGCAGAATGCGAGTTACCTTCGTCTTCAATCATTATTTTGACACTGTCCACATGATCTGATTTCTCATTTTATAGTACGATCTGAAGGCTTAGTGCAAGCTGAGTATATAAATAATGGGAACTGAGATCCTGGTATTTGCCCAGAAACTGTACAAATATATATTATAGTATCTGTCAAAGTCCAAGCCAAGACAACACTGATGACATCATCAGGGGTCTCTATTCAATTTTGGAGAGCAGAGACAAAAAAAGACATTATACAACCCGAGTAGTACTCCTCGTGATGAGCAAACTGTATTCAAAGTGGAGGTGACACCTGCATTATTACCTCATTTTGAGGCCCTGTCTTGTGGAGGAGCCCCAAATGAAAGTGATCCATGTGAAAATTCATCCAGTGAGGAAGAAAGCTTGTGAATGAGACTTTTTTTTGTCAAACTAGTTTTAAAGCTAGTTTATCATTTTCCATAAAGCCAAATCGACCCGAACAAAGCAAATATGGACATCCAGTAATGGTCCTTCACTTGCTATCACAAGCCCACAGAGATGTGCTAAAAGGCGGTTTGATGTAAACTACAATTCTTGCGGTCAATAAAGCTCGAAGCAAATGCATCAGACCCTCCCATCTGTCATATCACACACATGGAGAGGAAATGGTGGTGCGTTTGCAAGCGCTTGCAAAGGCAAGACGCAGACCATAACTGAAGCGCCTGTCTCTAACCTCGTTAGAACTAAGAATGTGCACAAGTACAGGGACACAGTGGGCTAGTCTTGTGCGCTCATTACCTGTCTGTGTACAAATGTGCTGGCTCTAATTTGTACAATTTCACACATGTGCTCACACACACAGACACAGACTTATCCTCCTGTCGATGTACAGCCCTAACTAGGTTTACTGCACATGATGTGTGCATCAGCTGATACAGCTGAGGACATGCATTCCACATATACACATATGCTGAAATGTTAAATGAATGCTCCAGGCAAATAAATAGTTACAGGAACCTCTAACATTTGATGATGATTGCTGCTGCTGCCTAACAGCACTTACGGATTTTTTACCACATTGTTATTTAAATGTTAAATAACAATGTGGTAAAATCATAAATCTTTGAAATCAACCTTTTATAATCAGTACTGCAACTGATCAGTGATCAGTGCGGTATTATATTTTCAATAGTGTTATCAAATTTGAAACGATACCCAGCCCTAGCTCCCACATGATCATATATGGACTACTACTACTACTGCGTCTCATACAGACACTAATGGGTGCTTGGTACATCGTATCAGGTGCAGAGGACCTCCTGCTCAGTGTCATTGTCAGTTCCTGCAGGATGGTTACATTCAGTTTGGTGGCTAACTTTAAATTCATCATATTTGGGACTGTGTTTCCTGAAGGGTACATCAGGCTAGTGTGTGGTGGTTCTTTGCAACTCCTGTGTGTGTGTGTGTGTGTGTGTGTGTGTGTGTGTGTGTGTGTGTGTGTGTGTGTGTGTGTTATCTGCAACTAACTTACACTTTCATTCATAAAAACTGAAAGTCTTCCCATGTACTTGTGCTTATAAAAACAGACACTGTCTAAAAGGAAGCACAGATAGAAGGAGGTGGGAAAATCTTAAGTGGCGGTAAAGAGATCTCCCTCTGCTGCCCAGTGGTTCCTCCCCCGCCACGAGACACACACACTCACACACAGTGTCTCTCTCACACAGCGCTCACACTGGGACCTTCAGGGCAATCAGAGCAGGCGTTTGAGGCTCTCCTCAGCTGAGTTGTTGACTATACCGCGTCTGACAGTGGAAAAAGTGAGAGGGAGAAGAGGAGAAGAGTAAAGCGGAGATGGTGAAGGAACGAGAGGAGCAGTTAGAAAGAGTGAGTCAGAGAAAGTGAGTGTCACAGACAGATACCAGAGGAGAAGGGTTTCTCTGTACTTTACATCAGACTTGGAGCAGACTCGGTAAGTCAGAAGTGTGTATGTGGATAAGTGTGTATGTGTGTGTTTGTGTGCTGAAAGGTGTTGCTCTAAATTAAGTCTATAATACCTTCAAGTGTTCCAGGTTAAAGGTGTCAGCTTGCAGTAGCAGACTGACAGAGTTAGAGAGGTAAGTGGAGGGAAAAAACAAGCTCGATGTGTCAAGATGATGAAGTCAGACAAGTAAATAGTCCTAGAACTCAAAGCACTTTTTCACCGGGTCTCTGCTGGGAGGCTGCCGAGCCAGATCCAGAGTCTACAGCAGTGCTCCAATGAGACCGAGGGATGAATCAGGCTCAGACTGAGCAGACTGGTTTAGCAGAGGGGGGAGCAAACAGGGAGTGAAACTAATACACCTTTAAGAATGATAGTTCTGAAGGGGTTTCTCCTCTGCAATAGGCAAACCTACAAACCACAGTGAAAGTTTGGATTTGTGTTCACTTCATGATCAAAAACATTATATTCCCATTCGTTTGAATATGTTCTTTCTATAATTATTTTTGCTTTCAGAGTAGAATCAGTTTTCAGTTTTTTATAAATGTTGTTTCGGAACCTTTCACATTTTTGAGTTTTGAAAAAAGGTCAAATTTCCAGTGGGACTACATTATATGGAACTTGAGGTCTGGCTGCTGAACTGCCACATAGCCAGGTTTCCACACAGTTCAGTCAGAGCCAACAATCAGGGAAATAAAGTCAGCCTAAGGTTTAAAGGAAAAGAATGACAAATGTAAGAATCTGGATACACATGCAGTGTGTTTGATACTAGTATATAAGATGACTGTGTGAGGAGAGTCTTTCACTCTGTGTCAATCGAAAGCAGAAGTTCTTCCCGCTTGAATGTAAAATATGTAAGCAGATCTGTGATGGAAGCAGTCTTTCTCTCATGTTGGGTATCGAGAACTAGTTCAAGTATTACAATTGGTCCAAAAGTTGTATGAAAAGCTGCTGTCCATATCACTGACTACATACATGCATATTTTTAGGCTGTTGTCATGCACTGTTTGTGCTCAGACCTACAAAAAAGTGAGTCTTATATAGCCCACATAATCAAGAGCCAGGACATGCAGAGCTTCCTCAAAGGAAGTCAGGGGAAGTCTGGTTCAAACAAACACAGGACTTTGACTCAGGAGAATGTTTGGGGCGTTGTATTTTACCTTTGTTTTGTTAAGTAACTTACTTTCTTTACGCAACAAATTTGGTTCTTTTTTTACCCAAACCATGATGTTTTCCTAAAGCTAACTGAGTACTTTTGTAGCCTGAACACAGCAGGGTCTTGTTCAGGCGCACTGATCACTCGTGTTGCTGGACATTCTTTGAGAACACAAAAATGTTGAAGTAACTTTTAAGATATCATAAAAATAGTTGTATGACAATATGTTGATATTTGGCCATTATACCAATGACATTTTTATCCCAGTTAGGTCATTTTCAGTGAACAAAGAAGATGTTAGCTGCCTTTCTTGGGCCAATAGAACATGCATACAAGAGTCCTTCTTGAGCCAAGTCAGTGGCGATCATTCCTGTTTGAGAGCTGTCTTCCTGTTGGCTTGCCAAACACACGAATAGGATGAAATAATTTCATCATATGAGTTTTCTAGATTTTCCACATTTTATTGGACCGAAAGGAGAACATTTTTATGATACATAGTCATTTTGAGGTGTTTGTGACAGTCAAAATGTTGTATTATTTTTCTAATGATTGTGTATGGAAAAGGCTAGTGTGTTTCACGTTATTCTGCAGTATCGAGTCTGGCCACTATGCCAATATCGGCTCGCAGCATGCACACACAGTCTTTTCAAAATCAACTTCTGTTCTCACAGGAAAGTACTTGGATAGTTTTATAAAATAAGTATGTTTGTTACATAGTTAAGTAGGCTCACTACATATGATATGCAGTCAGGTAATGTTATGATAT